GCCCTTGAAAAACACACTGAGCACTTGTGCTTGTGTGCTACCAATCCCAACAGGAGAATGGAGGAGGAGGTATTGTGACAGGGCCATCCCCTTGGAGGGTCTTTCCCACTTTTCCTCTCTTACTCTCTCTGTCTCTCTCATGCAAGCATACATGCACTATAGCAAAAAATAAAAACAAACAACAACAACAACAAAACAACTCTACTTGAAAACCCTGATTACTCTGAGTTACAGGAAGAATTAGTTTCCTTCGCAGTGCCTGTCTCGATCTGGGCTGAGTGTCCACCAAGTGAAAGTCACTGGTGAGGTATTGGGCATACCCTGGTGAACCAAACATTCATGGTTACTGCCCAAGTAGAGCTTAAATGGGATGACTGAGAAGACGAATGGTTGTAGGATGTCTTACCAAGTGGAGGGGATTTCTCTTAAGAATCAAAGATTTTAAAAAGAAAAAAAAAAAGCCACCTGGGACCAACAGATGGCATAATGGTTACATCACTGGACTCACACATAGTCAACTGTGGTTCGAGTCCCAGGCCCGGCAGCTTAAAACTCACACCAGCACATGTGCGTGCATGCCCAAAATTCCCAGAGGAGAATGGAGAAGGAATTGCAGCAAAGCTATTCCCCCCTCCCTGGGGGAGGGAGATGATTTTCACTCTCTTTCTCTCTCTGGCCAGTGCAAGTGCCCTATAGCAACAACAACAACAACAAAAACTCTCTAAAAAAAAAACAAACAAAAAAAGTCACCCAACCTATTTCTTTTCTAGCCGATCACAGGAGGTAAAAGCAGTGTTTGTGTAAAATCTATTAACCTGGAGGGGGAGGGTAAGAAATGATATGTACTGAAGTTATGAGAGCTTTTGGAAATACATGGAAGCTAAGTGCATAGATGGCTCTCAAACAGTCACGCACCATATAACAAAGTTTCGGTCAGCTATGGACAGCATGTGCAATGGAAATTCCGTAAGATTATAATGGAGCTGAACAAGCCCTATCTCCTAGTGATACCACAGCCACGGAACATTGTAAGGCCACTTACTATACTCACGCATCTGTGTGGGGGCAGGGCGGGGGGCTGGTGTAAGCTCTGCGCTACCAGACAATTACTTACAGTACACAGTACTTGATCATGCTCATAAATGATTATCTTAATGGCTTATGTATTTACTATAATTTACCTTAAAATTGTTTGCATAACCAACCGGTGGTATAGTGGTTAAGGTGTCAGATTCCCATTGTAATCAACCACAGTTTGAGTCCCAGACCCAGCAGCTTGAAACTCATACCAGGCATGCATGCATGCGTGCCCAAAATCCAGAGAGCAGACTAGAGGAGACTGCAGTATAGCCATCGCCCCTGGGACAGTGATTTCTCACTTTCCGTTTCTCGGGTGAGCACATGCACCCTAGAGCAAAAAATATCTAAAAAAAAATTATTCTATAGGATATGTGTGCTTGTCAGAGGAAGAGACAAAGAACAAAAGAGAAAGAGACAGGGACCAGCAGTTGGCGTAATGGCTATGTCACTGGACTCCCATGTAGTCGACTGCAGTTCGAGTCCCAGACCCGGTGGATTAAACTCACTCCAGGCATGTGTGTGTGTGTGTGTGTGTGTGTGTGTGTGTGCCCAATATCTCGAGAGAATGTAGAAGGCATTGTGGCGTGGCCATCTCCCCGGGGGGGGCGGATTTCTGGACCAGCAGTGAGTGTAATGGTTGTGTCACTGGACTCCCACATGGTCGACTATATATATATATATATATATGGTATTCATGTTAGCCGGCAATAGCCTCATGCCTCTCACAATTACCTCTTCTCTTGGTGGCCTCATTTTTCTCCTGTGAGAAATAGATCTAATTAATTAATTAGTTAATCTGATTGGTTGAATCTCGTGTTGTTTTCCTCATGGCCCTTGCAGTGGGACAAGATGTGGAAGTGGAAGGCAGCAGTGTTGATGATCGTGACGCTGTGTGGTCTCGGCTAGTGTGTGTGTTTGTGCTCAACTTTGGTTTAGTTTCCGATGGGAGGTTTCTATTTCATTTCTCCAGTGACATAAGCACAGTTGAGTGTAAGTCGAAGGCCTGCTTGCACACCAGAGCAGGTCCTTTGGGTGGTCCCATCAAACGTGAGACCTACAGCTAGCTCACAAGAGAATCGCCTGCTACTTGGCCCAGGCTTTGGCATTTTGCCAGCCTTGAGCACATCAATCATTTCTTCAATATCTTGAGGTGTCAGATCCTCAGGGTAGTTGTCATTTATTTGAACCATGGGTACATTACACAGGCCCCTAAACATTCCACCTCCATTAGAGTGAAAAGTTTGTCAGGTGGAGTCTCTCCATATGTTATTCCAAGCTTTGTCTGAATGGCTTCCAGCATGCTGTCAGAGTTTCAAAGCACGCAAGGTTGTGGTAGTGTAGATCTGAATGTGACACATTCCAAGTGGCTCTCGATTGCACAATGTATAAGGTTGCCACTTCATACACTCTCATTAGAGGCACTTAAAAATCTTCCACAACCTCATTTATTGCAGAGATAGGGATGAGCTGTGCCTTTGTGCTAATCCAGGACTGGCACTTTATGCCCTTCTGGGAAGCTTTTTACGATTGCCTCTATCTTATAGTTTCCTGGTGCGGAATCAAATGGAATATTTGGGTTATTCTCGGGAGTGCCTCTGTGTGCAAATAAGGCTTCCCCAGCTCCATTTTGCACAGTTGTCTTATGCAAATTATTTATTTATTTGAGAGATTTTTGCTACTGGGCATGTGTGCTTGCTGGAGAGACAGAGAGACAAAAAGCGAGAAATCACCTCCTGGGAGGATGGTCATGCCTCAATCTCTTCTCCATTCTCCTCTTAGGATTTTGGGCACACACGCACATGCGCCCATCGTGAATTTAAGCCACTGGGTCCAAGACTTGAACTTCAGCCAACTACGTGGGAATCCAATAACATCCGCTAGTCCTTATGCAAATTTTTATAAGTTTTCTCCCCTGGGTGGTGAGGGAAGCCACTCAGGCCTGGAGTGCAGCAAAGAACATGGCAGGCCAAGCTGTTTACCTTTCCCCTTACACCTCAGTTTTTAGCAAACAAGTTTAAAAAGTAAATAAACTTACAGAGGAAGGATATAAAGGGAAAAAATTATATGGCTGTACAATCTGTTTTTTTGTTTATTTATTTGTTGTGATTTTTAAGCCAGTGGGTCTGGGATTTGAACCACTGTTTGCTATGTGGGAATCCAGCACCTTAGCCACCATAACACCTGCTGACCCCTGACAATCTGTTTTTTTAATTACAGAATAACTTATATTTTAAAAGCTAAAAACAAGAAAGTGACCATCATAAAATACTGAATTTGCTATTTAAACTCATTAATTCTGCTAGTTAGGATGGAACATCTGGATGATACTTATTTCAGCTCCAAATAAAGAGTACAATATTTGACGGAGAAAAACAGCAAAATGTGTACATTTTGGGTCTTCAATTAAACTTCCACCTTCTGTTGTTTTCATTTGTCCTTGTCAAAATGTCATTTTCTATTTCCAGTTTCTTGGAGATGAAAAAAGCTTACAAAGTGATAATGTGATGTCCTATGAGTAAGAAATTATAAGCACAGGTCATAAAAGCTCCCCAAATAAGAAAATAGTTAAAATGGTTCAGTTCATTTTTGCTACAGGAAAATATATAGAAAGAGGTACACAGTGGAGCCAAGATCTAATCAATTATACAATCATACTGAAATAGTTGTTAAAGTCTGCTAACTGTATGTGGGAAGCTGCACACCAGCGAGTCTGCCGAGGTTTCTCAGAGAGCAAACAATTACCATGATTGGTTCCCTTCCAAAAACCTGACCTTCGAAACCTTGCTCTGATTGGCCACTAGAATCCCTCAAATTTGCATATCCGGCACCTCATGATTGGTCCAAAAGCAACCAATCATAACCCACTGTTAACAACCAATCAGGGCCCACCGTTTACAACCAATCACGGCCCACCGTTTACAACCCACCAGAGTGTATATAACCATGATGCCGGCCCACAGTAGCCAGACGACACAGACGACCGAGAAGACGACACAGACGACCGAGACGACGACAACGACCAGGAAGACGACAACTGAAGAGCCTGAAGAGCTGAAACACCACGCAGTCTCCAGACGACCCTGAAGATCCCGAAGAGCTGACACTGCATCATCTCGAGACGAACTGGGAGATCCTGAAGAGTTGTAACACTACATCGTCTCCGGACAACCCTGAAGAGCTGTGACCCCGCGTCGTCTCTGTGCTCTGTGCTGTACCATGCTGCCCACAATAAACGGACGACACTGTCGTCTCCGTGTTGTAACACTACGCCGCTTGTCCCGGCTCTCACTCCTTCACTCAGGAAACCTGTTCGGCTGTCCCCCTGGGTCGGGACAACTGTATAATGATACTGACAAAGACCTGATATACTAGGCTTTGAATACCTAAGTAAAGCTTAAGAAAGAAAAGCAAGGGACCAGCAGTTAGCGTAATGGCTATGTCGCTGGACTCCATGTAGTTGACCGTGGCTCGAGTCCTGGACCCCGTGGGCTTAACTCATGCTGGGCACATGTGTGTGTGTGCGTACCCAAGATCCTGAATGAAGAATGGAGGAGAAGGGATTGCAATGTGGCCATCCCCCCCACCCCACCGGGGGGTGATTTCTCGCTTTCTGTCTCTCTGTCTCTCTCTGTCTCTCTGGTGAGCACACATGCCCTATAGCAAAAACCTCTCCAAAAAAAGAAAAGAAACAAAATCAAAAACATAATATAGAAATATCTACCTATGGTTGACATTCTCATAGACTTTATAATGTATTCAGTTGTAAAAATATTACCCTTTTACTTTATTGTCTGTTTTGGCAGTTTTAAAACATTTCCTTCACTTTGGATTTCTGACAAAATTCATGACTTTTTAAAATCAAGTTTAGTTTCCTATCATTATATACTATATACTACATTATATACTATAATTATGGCCTCCATAAATACATTAAGAAATGTATTGATTTGTCTCTTCTCGTTGGTAGCAAATTGTAATCCTAAGTCTTCTAAAAAATATGGCAAATTCTTCACCAAATTAACACATCATGGTTTCAGGATGGATTCAGTTTGTGCCACTTGATCACAACTTTTTCTGGATTTGTAACAGTCTCTTTCCACTGGTTTGCTGCTTCAATGTTATTACTGTCTTCAGTTATCCAAATCTAGCCCACAAAGTGTTTTCTTCTTACAGAACTTGAACTATAAAGCTTAATGAGAAAAGCAATTTCTTTCTCATTGCGTGTGAGTGGAAAAGTCATCGTCTCTTCCCTTTCACTCTTCCGCTGGAGGCCTTCAGTAAGTGTGTCTTCTTATCAATCAAATCTTCTGAGCTAAACATTGCCACCTTCACAAAACCCCTCCAGGTCAGGGGTGTTGATGAGCTTGGAAGGTATTGTGCCTGGAGGGTTTGTAACTGAATCCTGCTATTTATTGCTTGAAAACAAGTCCTCTCCGGTTCAAGTTCTGCATAGCAAATAGAAATGTTTGAAGATGGTGTTACATCCACCGAGTAATCCATTTCCTGTGTGCTTTGAGTTCTGAGCGATAGTGGACATTCTCCAGTGGTTTTCTAGGAGTCTGACTTTGAATCTTAAATACAAGCCTGACAGTTTGTAGATGTTGGAGTTTAATAGCAAATACAAAAGTTCTCAGAAGCTCAGTAACATGGGAAACTTCCTTGGCAAAAGACTTGACATGCACTGGTTTGGGCCATGTTAATAATCCTTTTATAGAAACTGTTGGAGTGTCTCCATAACTAGAGGGCCTACTTAAATCTCTGGACTGTAAAACCGTGATCCAGATCTGCTCTACTGAAGAATTACCAAACAATTTCACGTTCAATCTCCCAAAATCTCTTTCACCTCCTGACAGAGTAATTGTATCTAGCCTTCTGTTACTTCCCTGAGACTTTTTCCTTGAAGAAGCACTACTGGGTACACAGGCCAATGAACCCTGTCTCTGGATGAATTGCTAAGATGAATTTGTAAGATCAAACATAGATTTGCTTAGCCGGGGAGAACCAGGACATTTTTGGTCCTTAAATCACAAACTGATCTAGACAGTCTGGTTGGGTTAGCAGGCAGAGGAAGGCACCAACTCACTTCAGGGGAACTGCGCTGATACACGTCGAATGGGCCGTATATACCCTAGCTTGGTCCATGCTGAGATGAACTGGAAAGTTCAACCTTTTCATCTCTAAAGGATGATCTGGCAGATCCTTCAAGTTCTTCCAGATGTGACGAGTTCCTTGTGTCTTGGGCTGAATAGAAGATAACTTAAACTTGGGCACCACAAATGGTACTTCTTTGCCATCATAAGGTCATTTGGAAAGCAAATAACCCCCAGTACAGCCAACCTGCGGGCTTACAGAAACAGAAGTCAAAGGAGGAATACAGACACCAGTATTTCAACTATTTGAGACTGCTGCTTTAAAGTCTTTTTCCGCAGAAAATTTGTTTTTCTGTTTCTCCATAAAGCATCCTCTACAGCAACTCTTTATATATTCTGTTGCTATTGCATTTAATTTCCAATATCCAGAAAAAAAAAAAAACCTTCCGATTTTAACGTTAATCAAGTACACAAAATTGTATAAGAACTTCATGTCCAGTTTTCAACCTGGGTCTTCATATCTTTGTTCCAAATACACTCTAAATTTATACCTGTTTAAATGCCATACATTTTTTCTGGAGGCTGTGGGAGCTCTGCCTCCAGTGGCGGGAAGGAACTTTGACTTCAGCCACCTAGTGTGGCCACGCCCCAAGGCCCTGGCCCCAGAGGTGCCCTGGTTCCCTCAAGTCCCCCTCGACCCATCTCAACCCACCACAGGCTGTGTAATGTGTGTTTTAAGCTAAGTATTATCACAAAAGAGTCAAGATTTGTAAAAGTATGAAAAAGTTTATGAAGTGAAAATGTTACAGTAAGCTAAGGTTAAATTATTATTAAGAATAAAAATTACTTTTTACAAATCTAGTATAGCTTAAGTGTTTAATGTTTATACAGTCCACAGTAAGGGTATAAAAATGTGAATTCACTTACCACTCATTGACTCACCAAAGGTAACTTTCAGCTCTGCAAGCTCCATTCAATGTCCTATACAGGTGTTTTTTGTTTTGTTTTGTTTTGTTTTGTTTTGTTTTGTTTACAGAGATTTTTGCTATAGGGTACAAAAAGAAACAGAGAGAGAGACAAAGAGACAGAAAGAAAAATCACCCTCCTGCGGGGATGAGCACACTTCAATCCCTTCTCCTCCATTCTCCTCTGGGGATTTTGAACACACACACACACAAGCACCCGACATGAGTTTTAAGCTGCCAGGTCCAGGGCTTGAACCATAGTCAACTACATGGGAGTCCAATGATGTAACCATTATGCCATCTGCTCGTCCTTGGGTATACTATTTTTTTACTTTGTTTTTGTTTGTTTTAATTTTTTCCCCATAGGGCACACATGCTCACAGGAGACAGACATAGAGAGACAGAGAGAGGAAATGTTGGAAATCACCCCAAAGAGGGTTGGCCACACTGCAATCCTGTCTCCTCCATTCTTTTCTCAGGATTTTAGGTGCACACATATAAGGCACTCAACCTGATTTTTAAACCCCCCAGGTACGGGTCCCAAACTGCCGAGTTGTCCATGTATGGGCCCGGCTGCCTTAACCTCCATGTCACCTGCTGACCCCATTTTTAAACTTGTATGCCATAGTTTTACTGTATCTTTTCTATGTTTACATATGTTTAGATGCATAAATACTATGCTTTACAATTGTCTGCCATATTCATTACAGTACCGCGTTGATGAAAACGTAGATGTTGGGCCCTATCTTGTGGTTCAAAATCTATGAGGGCAAAGCAGACACCATCAGTTCTTATTATTTATGGGAGGTATACTCTATAAGTTCACAAAGAAAAAAAAAACATAAAAAACATAAAACTGGTGAACTTCGAACTACTGCTGCAAGGGAGAATACAAGGTTAGGGTACTAAGAACACAGCATTTTCACCAACAGAAACGCCACTTGCATTCTATAGGTTAATCTTGCCTAAAACAAGTCAGTCTCAGGGTGACCCTTGTAGCACAGTGGCCCAGTGCTGTGCATAGGGAGTCAGATCCCACAGGGCCCATTCAAATCAAATCTAGGCCCTGGCAACCTGAGAAACATACCAGGTCCATATGTACGCCTGCCCCAAATCCTGATAGGATGGAGAAATGGAAGGAAAAGAGTTTCAGCGTGACCACACCCCATGGGGGGCGTGCTTTCTCCCACTCTCCCTCTACCCTCTGTTGCATGAACATACCCTTTCACAATTGTAAAAAAAATATGAAAATACCTAAAAATGGGGCCAGCAGGTGGCATGGTGGTTAAGATTCTAGATTTCCATATGGTGGACTGTGGTTTGAGTCCTGGACGCAGTGGTTTGAAAATCACACCAGGTGCTGGTATGTATGTGCCCAAAATGCCGAGAGGAGACTGGAGGAAAAGAGGTTATGGCATGGTTATCCCTCTGAGGGAGTGATTTCTCACTTTCCCTCTTTCAGTCTCTCTCTCTGTCTCTCTCCAGTGAACGCATGCACCCTCTGGCGAAAACCTAAAATAAACAAACAAGCCAATCTCATGAGCACTGAAAATTCCCTCTTCCATATAACCCTTTTCCTGTATAACTTAGCAGATATTTAAATAACAGTTTTACAGCTTCCCGTTGGTAAAGCCTGTCCTACCTGAGAGTTTAACATATTTTCATGTCATATTACCTTTTCAACTGTGAGCCAGCCAGCACTAGTCAAAAGGGTTTAACATTTTCTTGACCATGAAAAACATAACCATAAATTCCTTTGGGTTTCAGCCTCACAATAATGCTGCCCACTATTCTTTCTTCATCTCCTTCTCCTCCTCCTCCTTCTAATTCTTCTTTTTTTAAGAAGGCTTTTGCCTTTAGGGCACATGTGCTTGCCAGAGAGAGAGAGAGAAACAGTGAAAAGGAAAGTGAGAAATCACTCCCCACGGGGGATGACCATGTAGCAGTCCCTTCTCCTCCATTCTCCTCCTGGGATCTTGGGGACACACACACACACACACACACACACACACACATATACACCTGGTGTGAGTTTTAAGCCACTGCACCCAGGACTCGAACTGAGGTTAGCCATGTAGGAGTCCAGCAATATAACCACTATGCCACCTGCTGGTCCCTTTCTTCTTTTTTTTTTCAATCTATCATTATGTTATGAATCCACCAATTTTGTCATTCTCCCATCTTTTCCATGAATTCACTATCAATGTTATGTTAGTACTTTCTGAGTCAGCCTCACATCCAGATTGGCAAATTTTCTCTTCCTTTTCCGTATGTGCAGGATTGTTGATTCAGTAGCACTGAACTCCTGACCTGTAGCACCGTCAGACATGCCTGGGCAAAGCTTGGCCACACACGTTTCCTCTCTGCACATCACATCTGTGCCCGCTTGGGGACGCTGACTGGTGCTTTCATGCTGGGCCAGGCTGTGGGTCATTTTACCAGCAACATTACCAACCAAAGGCACAGGAATGTGAGAAGCATGGCACTAAATAGACCATGAAAAGGACACTCATTTCTAGTTCTGAAACAAGAAGGTAGAACCTGGCCTTATTAGAGCTCAGAACACTCACACTGGGCAATTTAAATTTGGGAGTGTTCTATACATGTTCCTCAGTGACCACGGAAGTATACAAAGTATCCATTGGGGTTAAAGAAATACTAGCTAGTAGCAAATTTGCAAACATGGGACACTTGCATACTGAGGATTGACGTGTCTATATGCCAGAAGGAGCATGTGCTCATCAGAGACAGAGACAGCGAGACAGAGAGAGAGGAAGAGAGAAGAAGCGCCCTCCTCACTGGGGCCCACCGTGCCGTCAATCCCTTTCCCTCTATTCTCCCTCCTGTCAGGATTTTGGGCACTCAGGCGCCAGGATTTAAATCATGGTAAGCCATATGGGACCCAGCTCCATATGCACCGTGTTTAACTGCAACCCAGGTGGTATATATTTTTTTTTTTAAGGATTATTTATTATTTTTTAATTTGCTATAGGTCACGTGCACTCACCAGAAAGAGACCGAGAGAGAATGTGTGAAAGTGAGAAAGCAAACCTCCAGGTTCAGGACTCAAACCGTGGTTGGCTTTGTGGGAGTCCCATGCCTCAACCGCCATGCCACCTACTGGCCTGGTATGTGTGTTTTTGTTTTTACAAAAATGTATTCTTAAATGTACAACAGGCTCTAAGACAACCTGTCACTCTTGCTCTCTGAGTAATGGTAGGGATTCCAGATGTTTAAGTAGGAAAGGAAGCCAGGGTTGCCCTCGCCCCGACGCAGGAACGCCTTACTTCTTGCCGGATTTCTTAATTCCATCTGTGGCCAGGTCGCTTTAACTCCTCAAACTTCTTCAGTTCCTCTTTTTGTTTTTGCTTGAGAGCTTTCTTTTCCAGGGCATGGTGGCACCCACCCTATGGAAAGCCTTATTTTCCTCACCCATCTCCTTGACCTGCTTCTTAGGCTGTTCAGGAACTGCTTCTTGCCACCTTTGTGGCCAGACAGCCAAGACTCTGCCATCGGAAAAAATGGTATTTGTGTTTGTTTGCTTGTTTGAACAGGTTTTTGCCTTGAGAAAAAGACAGAGATAGTGAGAGGGAAAGTAAGAAATCACTGCCCCCAAGGGGGATGGCCACACTACAATTCCTTCTCCTTCATTCGCCTCCTGGGATCTTGGGAACACTCACACACACACCCAGCATTATTTTCAAGCCACTGGGTCCATCTGGGACTCGAACCATGGTTGGCCATGTGGGAGTTCAGGGACCTTGGGAACCCTCACACACCCCCCCAGCTTTATTTACAAGCCACTGGGTCCATCTGGGACTCGAACCATGGTTGGCCATGTGGGAGTTCAGTGATGTAACTGCTACACCATCTGTGGACTCATTATTCATATTTTTAAATTTGCTATAGGGCATGTGCATTCACCACAGAGACACAGAAAGAGAGGGAAAGTGAGAAGGCCAGCCACCAAGTCTGGGACTCAAACCATGTGAGAATCCAGCGCCATAACCACTATGCAACCTACTGGTCCCTGAACTTTTTGAAGTACACTTAATAATCTTTCACTTTTGGAAAAGGCAAATGAGCCTAAAAGGGCAACAATCAGTGTATAATAAACATTTTTCTTTATACTTGATACTATGGAGAAATAAAATACTACCTTTTTCTTTACTCTTTACCTTAAAAAAAAAGCATTAAAAAATCCTTGAATCTTTCAATTATTCACTATCAACCATTGTGCTTTATTTGTGTCTCTTGCAGAATTTAAACACAGGAATTGTATTTGCCTTATATCCCTGCATGTCCCTGATGGCTGGTTCAGGGCCTGGTGCATAATATATGTTCTAAAAAACATGACCAAACACACATATTTGAATAAAAAGGGAAAGATGAAAGGGAATGAATATCCATTGAGCACTTATTAGATGCTCAGTAAGTTGCTCTCCTGTTTAATCTTTTGTTTGTTTTAAGAATTATTTATTTTATTTTTATTTGTTTTTGTTATTGTTATTATTTTTGAATTTGCTAT